CTAACAAAACAGTTGTGCTTGCTAGCGATTTACCACTTAATTAAAATGCTGTGACTTGCAGCGTATTTCCACTAAACGTAAAATGCTAGTGACTTGCACCGTATTTCTACTAAACAAAATGCTGTGCTTGCACCGTATTTCTACTAAACAAAATGCTATACTTGCACCGTATTGCTATTAAACAAAACGCTGTGCTTGCACCGTATTTCCACTAAACAAAATGCTGTGCTTGCAGCGTATTTCCACTAAACAAAATGCTGTGCTTGCACCGTATTTCTACTAAACAAAATGCTATACTTGCACCGTATTGCTATTAAACAAAATGCAGAACTTGCACCATATTGCTATTAAACAAAACGCTATACTTGCACCGTATTTCCACTAAACAAAACGCTATACTTGCACTGTATTGCTATTAAACAAAATGCAGAACTTGCACCGTATTTCTACTAAACAAAACGCTATACTTGCACCGTATTTCTACTAAACAAAACGCTATACTTGCACCGTATTTCCACTAAATAAAACACTGTGCTTGCACCGTATTTCCACTAAACAAAACGCTGTGCTTGCACCGTAGTTCCACTAAACAAAACGCTATACTTGCACCGTATTGCTATTAAACAACACGCTACTTGCACCGTATTGCTATTAAACAACACGCTACTTGCACTGTATTTCTTCTAAACAAAACGCCATACTTTCACTGTATTGCTATTAAACAACATGCTACTTGCACCGTATTTCTACTAAACAACACGCTACTTGCACCGTATTTCTACTAAACAACACGCTACTTGCACCGTATTTCTACTAAACAACACGCTACTTGCACCGTATTTCTACTAAGCAACACGCTATACTTGCACTGTATTTCTACTAAGCAACACGCTGAACTTGCACCGTATTTCTACTAAACAACACGCTATACTTACACCGTATTTCTACTAAACAAAACACTATACTTTCACCATATTGCTACTAAACTACTGATTTGTAGCATACCTCTGGTAGTTGCAGAACGTACCCAACATTCGAGTGTGTGGTATACCTCCAAGTGGTTACAGTAGCTACCCAACTTGGTGTATGTTTATTGGTTGGGTTGACATTTTTTGGTATAAACCTGGTGACTACAGGATAATTGATATGTTTACATTAGTTTGGTTGAGATAATTCTATTTGTTTTTATGGTATACACCCGGTGACAACAGGATAATGTTTACGTTAGTTTGGTTGAGATAATTCTATTTGTTTTTATTAGAAAGTTTTCTTTTTCATACACTAGAGTGATATCTGAAAATGTCAATAGTTTTGTTATAATTTCCAGTACAGGATCTAATACAGGATCACAATTTATGTCTGAAAATGTCAATAGGTTTGTTATACTTTCCAGTACAGGATCACAATTTATGTCTGAAAATGTCAATAGGTTTGTTATACTTTCCAGTACAGGATCTGATACAGGATCACAATTTATGTCTGAAAATGTCAATAGGTTTGTTATACTTTCCAGTACAGGATCTGATACAGGATCACAATTTATGTCTGAAAATGTCAATAGGTTTGTTATACTTTCCAGTACAGGATCTGATACAGGATCCTGATAATGTCAATAGTTTTGTTATACTTTCCAGTACAGGATCTGATACAGGATTAGAATTAATGTCTTAAAAATGTTGCAATAGTTTTGTTATCTTTGCTTTTACAGGATCTGATTGAAGATCTGAAGAGCGAACTAAGTGGAAACTTTGAGGATGCTCTAGTGGCCCTCTTGACACCCCTCACCGAATATCTGGCCTCTGAACTAAACAAAGCTCTATCAGGACTTGGGACCAAGGAAGATACACTAATTGAGATACTGTGTACCAGAAGAAATGATGAGATTAAAGCTATCACCGAAACGTATGAAAGATGTAAGTGGCAAAACTCGAGATTGATGTTGAATATTTAATCAATAACATTAATTGAACATTCTAAAGTGTCTTTTTAGTGCATTAGCAAAGAAGTGTAATAGTGTTTGTGAAAAACTCAACTCATTTATGTTTGCCAATTGCATATGCTACAATAATAAATTTAATGCTCAGTAAGTCTTAGAAATTCAATGGGAGGAAAATATGTCTCTACTAATAACATAGAATAGTGTTTTAGAAATGTGGGTAACTCGCTAACATGGGTCTGTTTAAACACCTACATAGGCTAAAGGTCATACAGGATACAACTTCTAAGATTTATTTTTCATTCCTTTAGAAATTTTAAAATATTTAATAAACTTTTTTTAATTGACAGAAAACTTTGATTTGGTTATTTATAATCAAAATTTTGAAAGATGTTATCGAAAGTGTTTTTTTTCCTCTTCTATCAACTTTTACACCGTTATTAAACGAGTTTTATATTATTCGTGAAATATTGATTGAGAACGCAAGTCACAGTAAGCTGTATACGGACGTATTTTGAATTAAAACGTTTAATTTTAATATTATGTTCAGTTTAAAGAGCCTGAATTTTGTCTTCATGAGAAAATAACTTTCTAAACTTAGATTTTATTTCGTATTTTACCCAACTATCACGAGGTTGTGAACGTGCCTTAATTAATGTATACATTCAAAAGAGTTCATTCGGTGGATTCTACTTCAAATATGTGTTTATTTATTCTACCTGACGTTTCGGATACCGCCTTTTTCGAGGTTCTATGAACGTCACAGATTACAAAACTGATTTTAAGTTATAGTAACCAAAAAAATAATAATAAAATTACAACAATATAATAGAACGATACACGGTGAATCGTGTTAAAAGTCTTGTCGAATGGGTTAGAGTTGCAGGTCATAAAAAAATAAATGTTTGAAACCAAAAAACATATGCAACTCTCCGATGGCTTCTTTATCTTGGCAAGTATTTCATCCTCTCCTTAACAGTATCCCTTCACACTTAATTAGCACCGATGACTTTTTCAAAAGGTACGTGAAGATGGTTTACAGATGAGTTCGTCTGCACCTTCTACTACCAATGATATACCCCTGTAGAGCTCATCGAAAATTCACTTGCATTTCTTCTCAACAACAATTATTATAAATTCATTTTAACTCTCTGTAAACAAACAAAAGGTATCGCTATGTGCAACAATATTGTTGTCGTTTTGGCCTCTATCTTTAGTTGTTATGGGCAACAATCTTGCTCTTGTTCTGGTCCCTGTCTTTAGTTGCTATGTGCAACAATATTGTTGTCGTTTTGGCCTCTATCTTTAGTTGTTATGGGCAACAATCTTGCTCTTGTTCTGGCCCCTGTCTTTAGTTGCTAACTATAACTCGAATCAGCCACCGTTGTTCTACACTATAACTCGAACCAGCTACCGTTGTTCTACACTATAACTCGAACCAGCTACCATTGTTCTAAACTATAACTCGAACCAGCTACCGTTGTTCTACACTATAACTCGAACCACCCACCATTGTTCTACACTATAATTCACACCAGCTACCAGACGAAGTGTCATTACTGCAACACCATGGACGGTAAGACGCAAGCCAAGATGAAACTTGAAAAGCTAGTGTTGTCAAATGGGCTGTCCGTATAGTTACAGTACTAAGACTTTCAACAATTTTGATTTCAACCAGTGACAGGAGAAAACAACCGCGACATCAAAACACTGTTTCGTGGATTATACCCCTCGTGGATAAACCGTTAACTACTCGTCTTCGTCAACCGATCAGAAGAGCTGGTTTGAATATCCACATATGCTAAGACCAATGGCTTAGAGAAATCGTATACATAGTGTTCAGCCACATACTTAAGTGAACCCAGTCGTCCAATACATGATCGTTTCAAAGAACACATTCGTGCTACTGCAAATCTTGATAATAAAGAAGCCACCGCTGAAAATTACATCAACACACACGGCATAATTAACAAGACATCTTATTGGATCAAAAATTTAGAGATTTGTCACGTCTTTCTTGACAGAAAATTTAAAGAATCTCTTTTGATTCAATCCAAACTCCATTCTATTAATAGATGCAATACCTGGCCCTTATAATGCTGTTATTATTTCACATAAGACTTTTATCAAACATTCTAGCATGCTTCATCGTGCACCATTCTATTGTATTCTATGTTATCTTTGGTTAACATAATTTAATATCGGTTTTGTTAACCTGTGACGTTCGTAGGCTCTTGAAAAAGGCGTAAATTGAAGTGGTTTTTCATCTTCCTTGAAATGGTTTCCATCCTTCAGTCAGCATTGAAAGCTTTAAAAATAAAAAAAACATATTGTAAATATCTCCAAATCTGAAATACAAGTTAATACTATCATTTTAATTTCTGTGGTGTATATTAGTGTATAGAAGATACTACAAATATACCATAATACAAAGCTTCAAAGTTTTGTACTGTCCGTTTCGGTTTGTTTTGTAGTGGAACGCTCCTGAAGAAGCTGTAAAGCATCCAATTATTGAAGAAACAACCGTTTGGTTTTGTAAAGTTGTGTATTTCTGAGTATTAAACTGTTAGTCTACAGTTGAACTTGTATAATTAATCACGAACTTATTGAATATCTTCACAGTGTTCGAGAGAAGCTTGGAAGACGACATCAAGAGCGATACTTCAGGAGATTTTGAGAGACTTATGGTCTCCATGACAACAGTAAGTCGTAACATTTTGTGGTATTTGCATTATTAAGGCTAATACAGTTAACTGTGTGCTTGGCTGAGAAAGAAACCTCACATTAGCCACATTTAATTTTAATATATTTTAATTCAAAGAGTAAGAGGCTTAGCCAACCAAGCCTCTGAATCCAGGAATTCTTGGTTCGCGCTAAACCATGTTCCACACTTATGGACAGTAAATACACTATAAAAGTAACTGTCAAATCCTATTGTTTGGTCAGATAAGAACAGGCCAAGAGTTGTTGGTCAGTACTGTTCACCAGCTGCCTTTCCTTCTGAAACAGATAAGGTTTATTGTGAAGTGCTGTTCATTGAACCGGTCAACAAAATATAATGTGTCATCGATATTAGATAATAATTACTCGTATAAACGGTACACACGAATTAAAGTATACTTTGTTACAAATGTAATCACAATAGGGTTAGCAGGAACCTTCTGTGTGATTCGTGTAAATACCAGGCAGTAACATGCAGAGAATATTAAAAGGGACAGGGGTTCGTTGACAAAAAAAAAGGCCACTTTTCAAACGTCGTTAGGCAAGTCTTTTTTTTTTTTCTTTAGGGTGTAGGGGACTGTGGGTGTTGTGCCTGGTTATAAGTGGGTTTGTATTACTGTAAAGATCTACAAATTCCTGTGTTCCATTCATTTTAAAGCTGAATATTTTTTCTACTTAATGACTAGTAGCAAGGAAAATGTAAAATTAGGCATAGTTTTCATTTAGTTGTTGACAGGGCACTTTTGGGGCATAAGGGCAGGGACTTGAACTCACCCAGCCCACCCTCCTGTGTCATATATTTACAACAGGTGTTTGTACACACGTGTGGTATTTGTTAGTGTAAATACTGAACAGGGGTGTCAACTTGGTGAGGGGGGGGGGGGAGGAGAAAAGGGCGGTTGTCCCTGTCTAAGCTTGGAAGGAAGCCTGAAATTCCAGTTTCTCTAAACAATTTCAGGTCAGTCCCGATTATTACATTTACACAAATTACAACATAGTGTAGGGCACCGAGTCAAATTGGGGGACCCACACTAGGCCAGCCTTTTTTTTTTTGTGCTCCACCCCCCAAGCCTTTTGTGAAATGACTCCCGATACTGGATTACATTAATGACAGTTACTTGAAGTCTCAATTAATCAGAATTGAAAGAAGGAATGATTAAAACATTTATTCCACAAATCACACGAAAGAAAACAAACAAAGAAAAAGAAATCCCTAGTGGAAGGACTTAGAATTGGAGTACTGTTTATCATATTAACCCTCATCAGTACATCTGGGGGTGTACATGGACGCAACGACCTTCTGGGTTGTATATCTTTTTACATAATCATTACAAAGTTATAACCGATTATGTGACTGTCAAGCTGAAACCCTGGATCAATATGACACTATTGTTTTCGAAACACGCAGATGGAGTACGTACCTATAATCAAATATTTATCTGTGGTCCCCGCGGACCTCATGCCATCAGTGTACATGCAGTTCACCCTATAGCACATGAAACAAATTCTAAACGTTTATTTCACTATATAGGGTGTTATAAGAGGACAATCCATCCAAATAGTACAGTATCATATGGTCTGTTTGTTTATAACATCATTGTGGTATGTGTATCTCATTTCTCAACAGTTGTTCTATGTGATGGCTGCTTATAATGCCCTATTTTGTAGAAACCTTGTTTGATAATTGTTGTAAATAACCTGCTTATTGGATTTTCAACCCATAGCCTACTATAAGGATACATTTGTGTTGGGGTCTGGTCGGACCCAAGTTGACCCACAATGTACATTTCAGTTTTCTTTGAGTTGAATTCTACAGTATTGTGGTAATCTCATCATATATTGGTGGATAACGACTTGAATATAGGAGTATAATAAAACTTCAGCATTCTTCTGATACACTGTTTGTATAAGGACTGGCCATTTCTACGCTCACGGTTATTTAATCTCATTCAGATAGATCTTTCTTATGAAAAGCAGCAATAATAATAATACTATGAAAGACGATAATAAAAACTGAACGCCAGTATTCTCGTATTTATATATTTATTTACACGTTTGTTGATATTTGCGTAAGACTATTCCAGTGCTATCTACGCTAGCCTTCCATAATTTTGAAATGATAGAGTAGAGAGAGAAAAGTCAGTTAGTCAGTACCTTTCACTGCGAACTCTTAGACTATTCTAATCGAATGGTGGAAATTGACTGCCACTCTTATATCGCAGCTGCCGCCCAAAGTGTAGTCTTGTTGTCAGTATTCAGTCCACATAGTTTTGCACCATCGGCCAAATATAACTAATTTTGCTTTATATTTTATTATTAATTAGTGTGTACCACTTGTAGTATAATTCTTATTTCTCACACCAGGTACCCAATGTAAATAACATGATTTTATCACCATTACTGTACCATGTTTAATTAATGTATTTTAAAAATACATGAGAAAATACCCAAGATTTAAAAAAACAACTTATTTCTGGAATACTGAATTTGTGCAATTTTGAATAATGATTAAGCTGAAAAGATTCATAATATGAATATATAAGATACGTCAGATTATACTCATTAGTTAAAAAAAAAGCCTTTTTTTTATCAATAGCTGGATGATGTTTAACATCGTGGGGAATATAGTTCACATCTTAATTGTAATTAATCACGCCTTATTTTGCTTCACAGGCTGGACGAGAGGAAGGGCCAGCCGACCCTGATCAAGCTAGGACAGATGCAGAGGTAACGTTCAATATTTAGTAATGTTTATTTTGTACTAACACTAACTTCAAGCTTTTCTGCATGTAGCGCCATCTGTCGTCTTTTGACTTTATTAATATTTATAATTCATTTAGTGAAAATTAAATGTGCATGATAATGATAATTTGTACGAAGTATTGGGAAGAACCTAGTTGAGATCAAAGCTATATCGAAGTAATACTTGAGAAAAATATTCATTGTGGAAATCAAAAAACAACTTAATTTCTAAAAAATAATAATAATTAATAAGAATTTATTTGTTACTAAAGAGAGGTTAGTTTTAACAAGAAGTAATTCTGACAGCTTGTGTAGATACAAAAACAGTATTTAAAAAACAAAACCTATTAAGAAATTTGGATGACAAAAACTTCCTTTCATTAGAGTAAACTTAGATGTGTTCATATTTCAAAAAAATGTAATTATTCCTATGAAATTTTATAAAGACACAATTACGTTTGATTTTAACATAAGTAAACCTACCAAAAAGAAGTAAAAAAAAAAAAATAGGAAATGTGATTATACTTTTAATAGCCGTGTGTGAACAAAACTTGTTCTGTCTTCGTTGTGTAAAATGTTTACAAAATAACCAATTATAAAATGATACTTACAAATTTTTTCTTCTTCTAAGTATGAAAGAGTAACAGTAAATAAAAGGTCATTTGTTGTAGAGATGGCCTTTAATAATAAATATGACGTCACTTGTTGTAGAGATGGCCTTTAATAATAAATATGACGTCACTTGTTGTAGAGATGGCCTTTAATAATAAATATGACGTCACTTGTTGTAGAGGTGGCCTTTAATCATAAATATGACGTCATTCGTTGTAGAGGTGGCCTTTAATCACAAATATGACGTCATTCGTTGTAGAGGTGGCCTTTAATCACAAATATGACGTCATTCGTTGTAGAGGTGGCCTTTAATCACAAATATGACGTCATTCGTTGTAGAGGTGGCCTTTAATCATAAATATGACGTCATTCGTTGTAGAGGTGGC